GGTGCGTCGGCGTGCGCCCGGGACCCGAACCTGGGCCGCCAGTAGCGGAGCGCGTGCACTTAACCGCTAAGCCACAGGGCCGGCCCTACACGGCTTCTTTTTTGCAAAGTAGCTGTGAATTGAATGGAGAGTATTCAGACTGGGTAAACATCATGATTTTGGGAGTTTATACTCATTTAAAGAAAAGACTTTCCTCTTTCCTTTTAAAGGATCATAGTGCTTCAGGAGGAATAAGAAAAGGGTAGCCTTTGAAAACCTTCCCTCCCTCAAACCTCATAAAGGAAGAAATGTAGGCCTTTCTCCTCCCAAACACAAACTTGTAACTCACACACAGAAGCTAAGCAAGTAGGAGACATCTAGAAAGGATCCCAGGAATGTCCCTCCTTCTCCTGACTGGGCAAGGCTGTTGCTTTAGTCCAAGGGCCAAGGTGAGGAGACAGTGAAAGGACTCTGGGCTTCAGGCATTAGCCAGGATTCAGGCAGAGCAGGCTCAGCCACTGTTGCTCAGCTGGCAACGCCAAGATCTTCCCAAGCTATTTCAGTGCCCTCTTCTGTCTCTCTTTGAGGTTCTTTGTCAGCCTCCCCAACCTCTTCACTAGCCAGAGCTGAGCTTCCCTACCCCGAGGCAAAACAGCTGCCCTCTTCTCCAACCTATTCCCTCTCACCCGAAGCCTGGAAGGAATAAATTGTCTTCTGTGTATTAATCACCTGAAAGCAGATGGGAACCAATCAGAAGACCATTCTGAGCAGTGTTTAACCAGTAATGTTAAAGAATCGGTGCATTCCCCATGTTTTTCAAACTTCAGGAAATCAATTTAGAAGGACACAGCTGGGTGTCTTATCACCCGGTGGCACAGCGGTTAAGTTCACATGCTCCACTTCAGCGGCCAGGGGTTTGCAGGTCCGGATCCTGGGCGTGGACCTAGGCACCGCTTATCAAGCCATGCTGTGGCGGCGTCCTATATCAAGTAGAAGAAGATGGGCACGGATGTTAGCCCAGGGCCAATCTTCCTCAGCAAAAAAGAGGACTGGCAACATGTGTTAGCTCAGGGCTAATCTTCCTCAAAAAAAAAAACAAAAAAAAAGGACACAGCTGACATTTGAAAAAATAAAATCTAAGAGAAAACAGATTAGAAAATATCAGAGTGCACTGCATCATCACTCAATCACACTTATACACATACTTGTCAAAGTTCCACAAAGCAATGCTTACCCTTTTCACAGTAAGTATATATATAGGTGTGAAGTCATACATCTATGCCGTGGCCATATAAATTCAGTTGGACCATGGGCTTTAGGAGGTGTAGAAGAGGGAAAGGAAATTGGGGAGCTAGGTTAGAGAGGCCTAGCATGACAAAGTAAAGAATTGGGCTTTATTCTATAAGCAATGGAAAAACATCATTAAGTTTTATGTGAGGAGAGGAATGAATGATCAAACTTGGTTTTTAGAGTACAGAGAAAGAACTGGAGAGAGAACAGATCGAAAGTAGAGAGATGTTAGGAGACTATTAGAATAGTCTAAGAAAGAAATGGGGGATAAACCAGAATAGTGGGGATGGAGATTTTTATTAAGAGATTTAGGAAGTAAA